AAAATCAGCAGATCTGCTGACGTCTACAGCACTGTGGGACATATGGCTGTAAAAGATCCCAGATATGAACATGCCTGAGCTCGGGAGGCATCTGGAGGGTCAAGATTGGGACGATTTGACCCCAGGAGGTTTGGGTTAGCACGACAATTCAAAGCGCACACATAAGAAAAAAATAAATGAAGGCATACATTAAAAAAAAAAGATAAATACTAAAAAAAAATCATCAAATGATTGATAAAAACAGTAAAAGGAAATTTGGACTGAAAACTAAATCTGTTTAGATAACACAGTCAAAGGCCACTTAAAACAATATTTTTTTATCTTGATTTAGAGCAAATTAGGCTTTTAGTGCTTTCATAGTTTTTTGGGAGTTTAATCCAAATTAGTGGATCATAAAAACTAAAAAGTGCTTCTTTTTGTTTGGTTTTGGCTCTGCAGAGTAGATTTAAGCCAGAAGACCAAGAGAGGTCCTGGCTACACTAACAAAGTCTGTAAAGTATTTAGGTACCTAACCAGTCAGAGATTTATAGACTAACAGAAACATTTTAAGATATTGGGAGCATATTGACATCTTTTAAACTGGAGTTATGTGCTCCCCTTCTTTAGTTTAGGGCATGTGCAGCATTTTGGATCAAAAGCCTCTCTCTGATCAACCATTCCGGCAGACACTGTTGAGTTAATAAATCATACTATACAGTATATCTGGCTGATACTTTAGTTTTTTATACCTGGAGATGTAATTTAGGTGATAGAATACCAACTGTGTTATTGTCTTCATACGACCTTAAAGATTCAGGCATAAATCCATTAATGCACCCAGATTTTAATCCTGATTGGTGCTTTCTAGCTGAATTAACAGGAGCTATGTGTTAACTTTCAAACAGCATACTTTCTTTAATAATGTATTATTTCTTTGTTTTTTCTTTAGCTGAAGAAAAGGTTATGCACATCTTATATTTTTCTATGCATTTATTCTGCGGTTGAATGGGTTAGTCACCTAGTGACATCATAATATACAGCTATGTCTCACCTGCATAGCTATGGTAACTCATGTTGTGGTTTACAATGATCAGGGTTAGGGGGAGCGTGTCAATATTTAATAGGCCTTTAGATTGATCCTTGTGGAATTCCACATGATACTTTGGTCACTGACAGCTCAGTACTGTACCAGAAAGGCCAACCTTGTTTCCCAGGCAGTCCAATAAAATGTAATGATCAACAGCAAACTGCACTAAGGTCCAAAAATACCAGAAACCCTTTTACTTCTCACTGGACGAGCACTTTCTTCAAAGACTTTTTTTTTCAAGAAACAACCTACAACAAAAAAAATTTGGAAATTATATTAGTGATGATCAAGTCCAAAATATGTCCCTGTCTGTGCATTTGGTGTTTAACATTTTTGGTCAAACCACATTTTGTAAGAGTATCACACAGTTCTTAGATTCGATCATCAGGATTGTGAATGCAAATGTGTCCTACATCAATTAAACAGTCATAATCAATACATATCAGAGATAAACAGTAATTAAAATCACTGAAAATATTTGTTTTGGACACAGAAAGCCTGTAAATATCCAAGAACATGGTTTCGGCCAGGTTCTTTACCTGGAGAAACAAAAAATCCAAAAGGTCAAACTTGCCTAGAAATTACGCTTCATTGTAAAATTAATTTGCAAACAAACCTTTAAAAACAAAGTAGACTCCTCTTTCAAATGTAGTTTGCAAGAATCAACTCTGTTAGAATAGGTGCCTTATCAAATTCTCATAACATAACATCATGGGCTTTGCCACCCTTGGAAGTGTCTGGATGTCCTGAGGAATTTAGTGGGGAGGCCTTCTGTTATGCTTTCATCTTATTAGCTCTCAGTGAAGAGGTCTTAATTTGGGGGGATATTTATTGGGCCTCTACTTGTCCTGCAATGTCGGCTGTTAACTCTCACTCTGAGCTAACTGTCTGGCTACTCCTGTCTCAGCTGGAGCTGTATGTGGCAGTTATGTTATTGATGTTGTTTATTTGTTGTCTGTTTAGAGTCGATGCTGCTGGTTTTGTGTGGGTCACAGTCTAGAACACATTTGATATACGACGTTAAGCTTCAGTTTTGCTTAAACAGGAACCATCTTTTCTATAGAAAAGCTGTCTTCTCTCCCAATAATATGTAGGTTGACCATGAAATTCACAGTTAACGTACCACACTTTTTTCAACAACAATGAGTCATCAGAAGTCTCAAAACATATCATCACCACACAAAAGGTATGCTGACCCTGAATAACATGTTGATATTGAGACCAGAATTTTAATCATTAGATGAATGAAATCCTCCTTTGGTACTTTTTTCTTGGTGACATCATCATAATAATCTTCAACAATAATCATAAACATCATAATAATAACTCTTAGATATCCCCGGTATAAATTAGTTCCAGTCCAACTCTTCCCCAATTTTGTGAAACGAAAAATTAAATGTTTCAAATAATAAAGGCAAGCAAGCATTAAACAGCAGAGGTGTTAAAAGCATTCATGTTTATTGCTCAATTTGTCATGGATTTGATTTTGTTCAAGTTTTATCTCTGAGTTTTCATTGGCCTTATTTTTCATTCCAGTGTTCTAGGTATTTTTGATTGTATTTGTGTTCTTAGATATTTCCTGTTTGCCCCTTTGTGTCAGTCTCATTTTTCCTACCGCCCTTCTTGCCTCTGTTCACACCTGCTCCCAATCTGCTAATTAGCCTGGTCTTTGTTTCTCTCTCCCATTTATTCTCCTCCTGCTCAGTCACTCTTTGTTGGTTTGTCGTCTCGTCATTACCTTGTCCCCTTCTTGTTGTGAGTATTCCTGGTCTTCCATTTTTTTTTTGTTGTGGATTTATGTTTTGTTTTTGTTTTTTTTGTTTTGTTTTTTTTTGCTTCTGCTGAACTATTGGTTAATTAAAACTTCAAGCAACCGCCTCAAGGATTTGTGTCTGCATTTAGGTCCTGTCAAACCTCTATCCCTAATGTGACACAAGTAGAAGACTAAATGCCACTGTTTAAAAGCACTTTTGTAGAAATCAGAGTATCTGTCATGACACAGAACAGAGGACCCAGTATTTGATTCGAGACAGACAGTGGGATAAGTCAAAGTGTTTTATTGAAACAAGCTCGCTCTGTGAATTTGCGGTATCAGCAGCTTGGGCATCTATTACTAAAGCTGTTGGAGAGAAATAACCTGATTTTACAGTTCAGTCCATCACTAGAGAACAAGGTAGGATCCAGCCGGTGGGCTGCCAACAGCAGGCGGCGGGCACCACCCAGAGTGTCCCAGATCCTGCGGCCCTGGAGAACATACATGAGTCTGAAACCAGCTCAGGGAAACGGGCTAAAACAGAAAGGCTCAGAGGTCCAGGAGTCACGAGACAGTTTAGGCAGCCTGTTCAGATGGTAACAGGCACGCTCAGTGGATGGCACAACAGGTCAGGATCAGGACATCAGAAACACTATGAAATGCTAAAACCACTCTCTCCACTGAGGTCAGACAGGAACAGACACGCTCGTTGGATGAGAGGCGGAACAGGTCAAGATCAGAAAATCAGAAACCCCAAGAAACTCTAAAAACACTCTCTCACCATTGGCTAGAGAGAGCAAGAACTAGAGCAATAATCTGGCCCTGATAGCTGGATGCAAGTACCTTAAATAGAGGCAGGAGCAGGTGGATCAGATGAGCCATAATGAACAACCGGGCAGAGTTAGACAGGTGAAAGGAATGAGTAATTAAGCCAGCCATCAGAGCCAAAATCATGACAGGATCAGCTTAAGCTTTTTACTCAAGTAAAAGTGTAAACGTACCAATTTAAAAGATACTTAAAGTATAAAAGTAATGCAGAAAAATGTAGGGTATTGCTTTACTGCAACACCCTAAAAAAGGAAAACTTCTACAATTCTGGATGATAACTTCCTTATACTTAATTTTCTCGGTTTGGTAACCAAAGAGATTAGTTTCAGTTTTTTCTTTGCATTGTCTTGAAAAACTATTTATTTTGGAATTTAGTGAACAACAAGTTGGTGTAGCACCGACTCCAACCACAAAGAAATTGTCTGGATGAAACAAATTATTTTTATGTCTTGTTTTTTTAAATACCAACAAACCATAAAAAAAAGGAGCTTAAATGAAACTAAATGAATGAGTCTATTTTTGAAATGTAAGGAGTAGAAAGTAGAGGCAACTACAAAAGAAATGTAAGAACTAGAAGTAAAACGTTGTCTGAAAAATAATTACTTCAGTAAAGTATAGATAGCCAAAAGGCATACTTAAGTAAGGTGACACCTCTGGCAAACTTGGAAGAAAGAAGTCATAGCAGGTAGAGGGAGATGTTTTTAAAAAGTTAAAGTTGATATAAATTAATTTAGTTTCTGAGGACTGCTGATGATGATGATGATGATGATGATGATGATGATGATGATGATGATGAGGGACAAAGGCCATTCACCCAAATACTAAATAAAAATGGACATAAAAAATACCACAATTGAAAAATTAAAAGTACAAACTCTGACACTCTTTTTAATGAAACCCACATTTAATAAGGCAAAACATCTTTACATTTTATTTAACATAATAGCATCAATGGTTCTGTTGTAAAACAAAGATTAAAACTCACTCCAGAAATTCTACTGAACTACACTTTCAGAGGAAAACAAAATAACACTTACTAAATTTGGTACTCTTTTGCTACATCATGATTAATTTTTGTTCAATATTTGGTCTTTGGTGAAAATTTCCATGAAGTCTTGAAAATAACATACACTGCATTATACATTATGTTGAGTCCAAATGCCACTTTTGGTTCAGGTTCTTTATTAACCAGCAATAATATCTAGTCCTGAAATTTATACATAAAAACATTCATCTTATTCAAACAATTTCATCTACGAAATGTAAAGTGTATAAAAGAATGTAAAAAAAAAAAAAAAGGTATCATGATTAAATCTAATTAGACACATCGAACACTGCAGATTTTTACTCCTAAATAGCTATCTATATTATGGCATCCAAAGATCAGAAAAATACAGTAACATTCACCTATTAAAGTGTATCATGTTAAACTACTTTAATAGGATGTGTCTGTAGCATTTATATTATTTCCTCATGAAGTTTATTTTGATCATTTCTGTTGAGCCTGACTCTCTATCAGTGGCTTTTGCTGTCATTTCTGTGAAGCCAAACTTTATTTCGAGTCTAATCTCACGATCCAATCCAAGTGCAGTGTTAGGAGACTGAACAGTGAATGAGCCCACTTCCTCCATGTGTGGTTCATCAATGTATGTTACGTTTTTTCTTACTGTGCGATAAAACGAAAAGGTGATTTCTGTCTGATCTGCTTGCACAGGATGCAAGGTGTGCTTTCTAGTTTCATTCCAGGAAATATCCTCATCATACTCCACCAATTTCTTGAATAGGTCTTTGCACCATTCGCCATCCTTGTTAGTGAATTTCTTCTCTGCCTTGTGCCTGAACTTATCAAATTTCTGAGAGACACCAACTCCATAAGTGAATGCACCTTTTCTAGATTCCACCACTCCCTGGTTTCTTCCAAATTCTATAGCTCCCCTCAAAATAGCTTCTTGTGGCCTGAATGGGCACAAAACTTTATAGTCATGAAACTCCTCAGCAACATGGTTACGTAGAATTTCACTGTCAGCGAACCCTCCCACTAACAAGATGTACTTAATTTTGAATGCTTTATCAAATATTTCATCAAGACTCTGGCTAATACCTTGCAGACTCTCTTCATAGAATGATTTCATTGTCTCTCGAGAGATTTTGATTGCTCCGTCATCCCAGGATGCCCCATCCACTTTTCTGAAGAACTTATCAACCTTTTTCTTTTTTTTCTCTGCCAGTTTTCCCAGTTTAAATGGGCAGGCGATTTCAACGTCATCATCAGTTTTTTTGAATAGTGTGAAGTCATACATTAACTTCTGAAGCTCACTGGGATATTTCTTTTCATACTCATCCCAGACTCCATCACAGAATATTTTGCTGAGGAACTGTTTGAATTTTCTGTCCACAGTTTGTCCTCCAAGGTCATTCCCAGAGGCCCTGTGTAGCTCCTTCAAGGTGCCTCCAGGCAGGACTTCATGAACAGTAATGTCAATGGTTCCACCTGAAAAAAAACAAAAGGAAATGCTTTATTGTTTATTGTTAAGGAAAATTAATAATGGCTATACCTTAGATATAAAAACAAAACAGGGAGTGAATGGCCACAAAAGTGTTGGTTTTTTTTTTACATTCAATAATGTGTTTTCTATTTTTTTAAATTTTAAACTATTAAATGTAGCATTTCTGAAAAGCAAAAAAGCACAGTATCTTGGAAGTTAAAAAAATTTCATAAGATAATTTTTTATGTGAAAGGCATTAAAAGGTAAATTTCTATTAAAACACTGTACCTCCACAATCAACAACGATGTATTGAGTTCCTGGTGACTGGTCAAGTTTTTTTTTACCAAGGTTTTCGGTTATAAAACCCTCTGATGGAAGTTTCTTACAATAAACTGAAGCTGCTTCTGGTTCCAGTGCAATGACCAGTTTATCTTCATTTCCTCTGGTAACAATACCGGCCTTGAAGGAGGAAAAAAATAATTATTTATTAACATATTAGGAGAGAAACAAACAACTTTGGCTTCAAACCAAGGAAGTCTAAATATTGCCAGTTACCCGAGTTGCAGCTTCTCTCATGAACTGTTTAGCTGAATGATCCCAGATGGCAGGAACTGTCAGCACCCAGGTGAAGTCGGCAGCTGCGAATTTTCTTCCTTGTGTGTTTTGTGCAATCGTTGTCAAAGCGTCATCCTTCAGAAATTTTAGAGCTTCTGTAAAAACCTCCACCGCTTTCATTTCTTTCCCGTTTGCAGCTTTAATCTTCAGATCCAGGCTAAGTTTCTGAAGAATTGGAATCATTATCTTAGTAAAAAAGTCTTTACATAATTGTAATCTAACATGGAACCAGGCAAATTAACTGTATGTGTAAATGTTCTACTTACCTTTCCATAGAGTGACATCTTGAAACTTTCAAAGAATAAATAATCTTTGGCTTCTGCTCCCAGTTTCGACAGATATGTTTCTTTAGCTTCATATCCAAAGCTGTTAAACTGTTTTTGTCCGTTAAAAAGAATGCAGGAGGGAGTCTTCGGTGTCTCTTTTCCATATTTCTTACCCCAATACTTCACTTGGGGGTCAATTTCTTGCTGCCTGGATGTTATGCTGAATGCATATCCACTGAATGAAGTACCAAGGTCTACAGCTATAATGAAAGAGTCTCCCATTGTAGGAACAGGTCTTGTTGCTAAAGTGTGCTGCCAAGGTTGCTGTATGTATATAATCTAAGTAGGCAGGACTTACTGGAAGTCCAAACCACTCCCCTGCAGTGAAAGGATATCCTTATTAATTCAAGTTTCAGTCTGGCATATCCACTCTAGACAACGCAAAAATGGAAGGCAAAAAGCAAAAGGATAAACGCAAAACCAAGTAAGCACAACTTAAATGCTTAAATTCATTATTTCTTCTCCTTAATTACTGCGTCAGCAGCTTCTCTTTGATTTTGTGGTACATTGGAAAAGAGACGATGGCAACATCTAATCTCATACTTTAATATTTAGTTGAATTATAATTATAAATCACCATTTGTGGAGGGAGGACTTTTTTTATGATTTGGAATATTTTCATACTTAAAATAAAGTAAAACATTACCTGGACATTTTCTGTAAGTTTGTAAACCTCAATAAAACAAACACTGTATGTATGTTAAGCTAGTAAGGTTAGGGATTTGACCAGCAATAGTCACTCTATTACAGATGGAGTAATGTAAAGAAATTAATTTCTCCCTGGGATTATTAAAGTTTTTCAAAATGTAGCTTTTAATACATTCTCTGTTTTTTAAACTGCTGCACTATATCTTTGTGTGCAATTTGCACAAGTGTTATACATAGCACCTAATATTCTTTATGTTTTTTAAAGAAATAAAGTGGAGGAACGTGGCAAACCAAGGTCCCGTGGAAAAAGGTGACTAAATGCTTTTTCATAGTTTTGACACCTTCATTGGTATTCTAAATGCAACACAGATTATTCTATAGGGTGTATAGACACAACTATAATGCATAAAAGCAAAGCCTCCTCTGCAAAAATGCTGCCTCGTGTATTTTACTCATGTATTTTGATTAGTGCAGTCATTTAAAACATCATACACACTCAGCAGTAATCAGAGTGAGTTGCAGCATTATCAGCGGCCAGTGCTCAGCTCAACAATATAAATACGCACAGCAGATTTATAATGTCCGTCCAACCACAAAATTAGTTTCTGATGGGAAATTAGACAGGCATCCTCAACGACATTTTTGAAAAACATAAACAAATTTAAAAAGTGAATTCAATTTACATGTCAAAAGATTAGAAAGCTGAAATTTTTTTTTTTTTAAACAATTACAGCTCCAAGGATGAGTCCACTACACTCTAGTACAAGTCATGTAGATTACTTAAAGCTCAAGTCATGTAGATTACTTAAAGCTGTCATGTATAAATATGAGCAACTTTGTTATATATATATATATATATATATATATATATATATATATATATATATATATATATATATATATATATATGACCAATTAGCCAATTATCTCAAACAATAAGCAAAATAAAATTGTATCCATCTTGGACAGCTTACATTTATGATAGGAGCAGGAACATCTTACTAGGTCTTAACCAGCGTTTAACTATTGTAGCTTCTTTCAGCTCTTTTAGCTCACAATAAATATAACAAAATATATTCGAAAATGTTTCAGACCACTACAGGAGGAGGTGTCCAGACCTCCAACCAACCAACAAGTGAAATTACCAGAGCAAACTATTGGACGCACATGCAGGTAGGTGTCTGTTACACCATACCACTCATAGGAACCTATGGGTATCTTCCCAGTACCAGATTTACATTTCAGTTTTTAACCCCTAACAATTGGACTCACCTAAAAATGTCTTACTGACATCTGCTGTCATTTCAAAGGAACTACAAGTTGAAGTTTAAAGATTATCTTTTCAACATGGCTTCAGCCTTTGTGACACACACATATATATATATATATATATATATATATATATATATATATANTATATATATATATATATATATATATATATATATATTTATATGTATATGGACAGTTTACAATGATGACAGTAGCAGAGATATTTTACTGGGTCTTACCCAGCATTTAATTATTGTAGCTTCTTTCAACTCTTTAACTCACCATAATAAAATACATTCGAAAAAATGTTTCAGACCATTGCAGGAGGATGGGTTCAGACCTGCAACCAACCAACATGTGAAATTGCCAGAGCAAACTATTGGAGGCACATACAGGTAGGTGTCTGTAAAGCCTTAACACTCATAGAAACCACCATCTTCCCAGTATCAGATTTATATTTCAATTTTTCACCCCTAACCATTGGCCTCACCTAAAAATGTCTTACTGACATCTGCTGTCATTTCAAAGGAACTACAAGTTGAAGTTTAAAGATTATCTTTTCAACATAGCTTCAGCCTTTGTGGCATATGTAAATTTTTTTTAATCTAGATTAATCTCACTATAATCTATCTGCCAGCCTATCAGCTACACTGATGGGCCAGTTGTTTGTGGCTATCCACTGAGTGAGGAGATTGGTTAGCTTGGCTGATAAAGCTGTGCTTACAGCTAAATCCATGTAAGCGCGTCACATTCAATGTGGTAATTTCACAGTAGGCCTAAACAGATCGGAATTCTGATTTGTTCTCCCCCCCAGATATACATCAGCACCAGATATACATCTGCGCTAAAATATCAAGGTGAAAGTCATCATTAGTATAAGCCCAGTTCCGAACCCAAGTGTGAGAATAGATTAACGGTGATCTTTTTTTTTTTTTAGCGCCCATAAGAGCCTGTCATTAACATAGCGTGTTTATGCCGATAATGGCCCACCACTAATTATATATATATATATATATATATATATATATATATATATATATATATACATATATATATATATGTGTGTGTCAGAAAGGCATGAAGCCATGTTTGCAAAATCACACATATTTTTCTAAATTCCTTACTTAAGGTTTATACTTTTTTTGCTCATTCGTTAGTGTCTTTGCTGCAAAAAATTGTATCCTACTTACAATTATAGATGCTCCACTTTAAAATTAAAGTGTCTCCAAAAATCTGATAGACACGTTATCTCGATTAACTTCCCTTTCACGGCTTTCTCTGCAGCGTGTTGGTCATATATTGTTCTCATGATAGGTTGCCTCGCAGGTAGTTTTTAAGATCGGTCAGCTTTGGCCTCCTGCAGAACAAGCTTCCAACCTATCAGCTATGCTGATGGGCTGGCAGCTTGTGGCTATCCACTGAGTGAGGAGATTGGTTAGCTTGGCTGATAAAGCTATGCTTACAGCTGCATCCATGTTAGCATGTTACATTTGATCTATCTCGATTCACAGTAAGCCTACATAGGTTGGAAGACTGATTTGCTCTTACCCCGAGATATACATCAGCGCCAGTTATACATCTGCGCTAAAAGATCAAGGTGGAAGTCATCATTAGTATTGACCAGAGGTGTCAAACTGGCTCCAGAAAGGGCCGTGTGGCTGCAGGTTTTTTTTTTTTTTCAACCAAGCAATAGCACACGAGTCTCCTGTCATTTCATCAAGTGAGTCCAATCTGAACATGATGACTTGATGAGATGAATGGAGTTTGGTGTGCTGTTGTTTGGTTGGAAAGAAAACCTGCAGCCACACTGCCCTTTCTGGAACCAGTGTTACACCCCTGGTATAGAGCCAGTTCCCAACCCAAATGTGAGAATAGATTAACAGTGATAATTTTTTTTTGTCCAAAATAGTCTGGCATTAACACAGCACGTTTACGCCGATGATGGCCCACCACTATATATATATATATATATATAT